TCACTTCCAGAGACAGTTGTAAGCACTGTGTAACTGCCTCGAGGGTGCTTGGTCAATTGATCACAACGTGGTGCGATCATCTCCCTTGCGCGGAGTGAGCGTTCTCGACCCCGCACAACATGATCTACTCACCCACCATTATGGTTACCGCCAAAAAAAAAACAGAGATAAAACAAATACAGCGGCAACCTAGTTGCCGAGTTGACGAAGTGAATTGGCTTGTTTTACAACGTCGTTGCCATGCGACGAAAACCCAATCCCGATGGCAAACACCGATGGGGGGACTTGTTTTACAACGTCGTTGCCAAGCGACGACAACCCAACCCCGATGGTAAACACCGGTGAGCGGGGGGGGATCGTTATTGAAAAAAAAATTTTGGGGGGGGGGAGTTGCGAATATCCCGTGGCAAAAGGCGTTTATTTTTCTCTGTTTACGCCTCTGTGTTCATTGTTGTGAATGAGAACGAGGCGTTGCTCGTGGGGTCAACCGATGTCTAGGCCTTGCTACTACGGCACGTGATAAACTTGGGACATGGACCCCCAGCGGTCGCCTAACCCATTCGATGATTAACCTCTGATCCGAAACAACGAATGTTGTGGAAGCGCCATTCCGCAACATCGGTGCCAACGGCTGTCAGTTGCTGCCGAAAAGAAGTCGAAGCCGATGAACGAAACCAGAAGGCGCAGCGGTTGCTCTGTCTGTCAGATCTCGGCGTGATGTGGACGACTACATAAACCTACAAATAGGCAATCAACAAATCGGACACCCCCCGCCCCCCCACAACCGGCGTCCCCCCACCGCCTCTTCGGTCTCTTAAGGCCGTGCGAATCTCGGAGGCGGGCATGCGGGCGGGGGTTGCTCTAAGGCCCGAGACCCCGGTCTCCGCGGTGCTGCCGCTCCTGGAGCCGCGGCGGCTCGTGAAATGCGTCGACGTGCTCGCGGTCCAACCGGGTTTCGGGGGTCAGGCGTTCGACTCGACCGTTCTGACGAAGGTTGAGGAGTTGCGGTCGATCTGTCCGGAGCTGGACATTCAGGTGCACGCGTCGAGATAACCATGTATTCGCGGCAGCAGCAGCAGTACGTTCCAGTCAGTCCACGAGATTTCTGTGGTTTGGTGTTGTGGGGTAAGTTTACACGCGCAGCAATTCTTGGAGGCCCTGACGGTGATAACTCGCTTGTTTCTTAATCTCTTGAGCAGCAGTACGTGCTGTGTTTTTGCTCTCCTTGGATAGAATGAACAAATGGGGGCGGGACCTCTCCTTACAGGGAGGGGCTGCTATGGCGATGTCCCCTTGAAAATGTTCCTATCCTACGCACGGAGTTGCATCTCCCGCCGTAACCTGAATACTTTTACTAGAACTGACCATGGTGGAGAAAGACCGCGTTGCTCGCGGACTCAATGGACACCCTCAGCCCACCGTACGTTCGCGACGTGGCCGCAACTTTATCGCCAGGTCGTAGTGGGGAGCGTCGGCTCCGTCAAGGGACCTCGGTTTTACGTCTACTGGAGATGCTGCTGGAGCTACTAGAAGCTCTAGCATCTCCAGTAGAGGTAGAGCCGAGGCCCTTTAACGGAGCTGACGCTCACCACGGCGGCGTGGTGATGAAGTCGCGGCCATGTCGCGAAGGCCCGGTGGAGTGAGGGTGTCCGTCGAATCCGAGAGCAACGCGGTCTTTCTCCACCATGGTCAGCTCCAGTCCGGTTGGCGACGCCAAACGGCTGTGAGGTTTACCTACACGCGTAACAATCAATCCTTGCAAACCCGGACAAAGACTTCACTTGTTGAGTAGTCTCCTGAGCAACAGTACTCGCTGTTTTTTTGCTCTCCTTGGCATAGACTGAACAAATGGGGGCGGGACCTCCCTTTGCAGGGAGGGGCTGCTGCGCCAACATCCCCGTTTGGTAACAATCCTCGGGAGTTGCAGCTCCCGCCACAACCTCAACATTTTCCCTATGCATAGAACTACCGTTACGACCCTTGCACTCAAACCCCGTAACAGCGATCGTACAGGTCAGGCCGGCATTTCTTGTGCGGATTTGTTTTCCGTCGCGGATTTCCGCGAACGTAACCGTGAAAAGGTTCCCTGAGCGTTTCATTTGTTATCGTGGGGATTTTTTCGTCGCGGGTTTTCCGCGAAACAACGTGATAACCGCGGTTTTTGCCTGTGAGCGTCGGATTACCTTCTGTTCGTGGTCGCCTTCCCGCGTCCCACGCGGCTACGTGCACTCCAGCCACATCCACATTGTTCGCGTTGGTTAACTCAAATTTGGTGACGTCCTTGCAAATGATGACAGGTAGACGGCGGCGTCAGCGCCACCACGGCTCAGGCTTGCGTTGCCGCAGGGGCTAACGTGCTGACCTCGGGGAGTTTCATTTTTGGCAGCAACACCGGAAGCATGGCCTCTAGTCATGTTTCGGAAGCGGCGGCGGCGGTATCGATTGCAGAGTTGAGGGGGGCGCTTTCCGCAAAGTGGCCGTCACCGGCGCCGGCGAAGGCGTCAAGCGTAGTCTAGTTAGGTGGAGGAGGACGCGGTGGCATGCGGTGGACTCTGTTAAAAGATTGGGGTGGGGGTGAAAGGAGCATATATACCCTGACGGCTTGATGGAAGGCGTTGGCGGCAATGATACCGTTGGCTGTGAAGCCCACGGGTCTTCCTCTTTTCGTGACGTCTGGCACGCTTCGTGATTGCTTTCTTGTGGTTCTTGCCTGCTGTTTGGTCGCTTTGCCGGTGGCAAAAAGGGCGGTAAACGTAAATAGTCGTGTGTGTCTTCGCGGTCTGAGGATCACCACAAGACAAAAGCACGGGTGTTTACATTTTTGGCGTCAGACATGTTTCTTTTCATTACGCAATAATGAGGTGGCTTGAGCATCGATCGCTACAAGAAGACCGTTTCGCCCGACGCGAGCACAAGCACGTCTTGACCAAAACCACGCCTCACACTCTACACAAACAGTCAGCGACCGCCCCCGTCGAACAGAAAAACAAACTCGAGAACAAGAATTTAAGACGCCCGGCAGCGAGAGCGGACATCGAACCCACGACTTGCAACTAAGCACGACGAAACAACGAAAACAACAGAATGCTGGGTAAAAATCCATACAGAGTGAAATTCTTCGACCCAACGTTTCCCCGTCCAAATCTCCCTACACAATACATAAACTAAATATTTACAAGACATACAATCAAAAGGAACAGCGCCATCTCTGCAGCCGAGGTGCAAGCGAGCGACGTTACCCGTGCTCCGAGAACAAACAAACACCGCAAGAGGTGGAGAGATGGCACAACTCCCCCTCGACCGACTTTCATAGCTCGATTGATCCGCAACCAAGCGGGTGCGAAAAGAGCCCGACATGCCTAAGGAAAGCCGTCGACGAGATGTTTCCGTCGTTCCGACACCACCACTTTTGGTGTTGGAACATAATGAATCTTGGTCGTGGAGCAATCCCTCTCTGAAAATCGCTCTAGGGGGGGTGCCAACTCTCCGACTCTTCCGGAATACCACGGTACGGTATACGGTACGGTACAGACAATCTTGGTCGTGGAGCGATCGAGCTTTGAAAGTCGGTCTAGGGGGGGTGCCAACTCTCCGACTCTTCCGGAATACCACGGTACGGTATACGGTACGGTACAGACAATCTTGGTCGTGGAGCGATCGAGCTTTGAAAGTCGGTCTAGGGGGGGTGCCACTTATTGTCCGCAGATGACAACGAAACCACCGGACTCACGACCGTCAGGCCGACGATCGGGAAATTGACACCTGTGTGCCAGATGCGAACACCCGTCCTTGCCACACGCGACAAGATGGTTGGTTTATCAGATCTTGCCGCCCGCAGGCTTCTATATTGTATATTACATCGGAAACCTTCGCAGGAGGCGGAGCCAACTGCAACCGTTGCACACTGAACGCCGGTGCTTGAATGCGGAATTGCGGTATTGCGGTCAACCCGAGAGACCCATTTGACGGAGGGACCGAGCCTTTCTAAACACGCACGGTGATGAGAGTGTCACGCAAAGAGTCGGAAAAAAGAGAACAACACAAAACAAAAGTGTCCAGCCAAAGCGTCCTGTCGAAAACAACATGTAAAACTAACACAACACCACCAGTACGAGCATACTACAAACGTTGCCTGGAGACGACCGGACCGGCGCGGCCGGCCAAAAAATCCCCCACAACAGAGCCACAAGGAACGCGCCCCGAGACCTGTTACCGAACCTCCGCTTTGAAAAACTTCGCGGATTCCTCGCCCCCGCTACAACTGTCGTCCTGCTTCGCAACACCGAACGCCTCGGGGCTGGTGCTTCTACTTCTACTTCTACTCCCGCTTCTTTTGTCTTTCCTGCGACCGCTCTCAATCGCCGACGGCGAGCTAGCCGCCAGAGGGTCACGTTCCGAATTGCCGTTGCCGTTGCCCAGGAGCTCGCCCTCCCCCCCCGCGGCGGCGGTAGTAGTAGCGCGGTCGTCGTCCCATACCGTCCGTACCGGCGGCCGTCTATTTCGAGGGGACCCCGCGAACCTGATCCACCTCTCCCCGCCCCCACTGCCATACGCCCGGCCGGCACCCCTCCACACGCGGACCCCCCTTTCGTGGGCCATGATGCCCTGGGGCACGGAGGATGTCGACGACGACGGCGATGACGGGGGGATATTTTCGGCGCCTGCTCGATGACGGCCAGCACCGCTGGCGNCCTCCTCCTCCTCCTCCCCCCACCGTCCGCCTTTCGGCTGTCCCGATGTGTCCCGCATCTCTAAACCCTTCTCCTCTGCTGCGCCTCTTCCTCCTCCTCTGGCGGGCCCTTGCCTTCGCCTGGAGCCCCCAGCACCCCCTCCGTCGCGATCTCGCGGGGCTCCGTTGAGGAAAGCGCCGCCGCGCTTCGGCGATCTTTGCCGCCGCGGCAGCCTGTTGCTGCCGCCCCGCCCCGAAGAGTCCGCGTCGCCGGGACCCCCCCCACTCGCAGCAGCACCAGAACAAGCATCAGAGGCATCTTTGGCCGGAGCGGAGGAGGGAGAGAGCTCGAGAAAGTCGTCCTCGGCCTTGCCGAGAAGCAGCTGCCCCACTCGTAGGTACTCCGTTGTTATCCTCCGGGTGAGGGACGGGGGCATCTGGGGCTCCGCAGAATCATCCGACCCTTCCGAGGGCTCGTCCTCCACCTAAATAGAGGAGGTCGTGAATGACGAAAATAACGATTTAGCTGCTGCCGGTTTCCCACCTAGCCTACACCGAGCGGGGTGCAAAAAGACGCCTGCGATTTGTTCTTTTATGTGCCTCGAAGTAGGGATTACTGCTGTTGTGGGGCGGCTCATGAGCACGCACGATGCAGGAAGGCCGACGACAGGACGCTAGCGAAAGGGGGGGG